CCCTGTGCTGATAGATCTGCAGCCTTAAGTAGGGCTCAAATGGAAATGCTGGACTCTCTCTCTTTGTTAAAGTGTGTTGAGTGAAGAAAAAGGTCTCCAAGTTGGTTTCTGCCCTTGAAGCAGCTCTTAAACTGCTATTATTATATAAATTTGGGAAGTATGTTGGGCTTTTGGATTGCATCAATCTTTTTGCTACCTAGGAATTACCACTCATCCCATCATTTGCCAACTATTTCTCTGCTGTGTTCTCTATTTCTCAGTCAATTTTCTACTAACAGCTGACTAGCTTACCAGCTAATTTCTCTCTGGTCTTGAACAAATATCAGCAAAATTCAGCTGAAGCTGAAAGCCTGGTGCAGCTTTACACTATAATTTTCCTGAATCAGGCAAGTACAAAGACCCAGTAGGACCTATCATAGGTCTCCAGAAAGGCTAGGAGACCACTACATCTGAATCATTACTGCATTTCCCACCAGCACAGCTCTAACACTGCCACTCCTGCTTTATCTTCACCACTCCCTTAAGTCTTTGTAAAATCAGTCATGTCACTGTGATGACTAACAGAAAAAGAGAGAGGGCAATTGGTGTGCAACTTGTGCTGGGAGCTTAGGATAGGAATTGGAAGCTGGATCTAGGAATCCTTCCCCAAGGTAGTTCATCATGTCTTGTGATTTCATGTAAAACCCCCTTATATTTCCTCCCATCTTGCTTAAGACTGGATGGGAAATTGGGTTAACAAAAATGTAAGGAATCTCTCAATGCAGCAGAGACTGCTTCAGAGCCAAGTTTCCCAAGGGAAATAAATGATGAACAAAAACAAACAATAGCACAGCTCAAACGATTCCTCCCCTCACCACAGTCCTGAGATTTCATAATTGCTCCCTTCATGGCCATTTTGGTTTGTAATATGCAGAGTAAAGATTTCCATTATAGCTGTGTTTACTTAATCACTATAATTTTTTTTAAGTGAAGTTCAGGCAGTTGAAAGCACCAGGCTGCCAGCCCCAAGCAAATTAGCCATCAGCTAGTTGCACTAGAAGCTGTTCTGCTGTGATCCTGAGCAAAGGGTTTGCTCCCCAGCAGTCTTTTCATTCTCAGATGGATCACCCACCTCTGGGAATGAGAAGGATATTTAGCATGTCACCCCCTTTGCCTGATCAGGCAAGAAAAGGAGGGCGTTTGTGTTTGTGTGTAAAAAAGTCAGTCTCTCAGAATGGGATGATCATGTGGACATTTGGGACTAGTCTGACATTCATCAGAGAAAAGCTAGAGAATGGACAAATGTAGAATTCATTTCAGAAAGCAGCAGGACATTGACTACATCTGCAGAATAGTTTTTTCAGTGAGGTTACATTGAATATTCTCATCATGTATGGCACAATATCCCAGCATGAATATTTAATCATGCAGGGCAAATACAAGTAGACTGAAATTCTAAGTGATGACAACTTTCAGATGACCTAGGCCCAGACTAGAATTTGTGATTTCAAATGGGAAGGTTCCGACTCCCATGCCTGTCCTCCTGAGACATTGATCTCTGCTTGTGGGAGCTGGGAAACACCTTAGCCTTTATAAAAGAGGCACAGAGGACTTCAGCCAAATGAGACAAACACATGGAAACAGTCAGTACCTGCAGCTGCTGGAAGGGAGGCACTTCCCTGGTCAGGATGTATGAGATTTGCTGTCATCTGAGGCAGTCAGCAACATGAATATATTCTTGGCACTCTTATGGTTTCCAGTGATCCAAATCAAAGCCAGGCTCAAAACCAAACCAGATTGCCATTGTCAACCTGGATTGGCCTGAGCTGCTGGGCAAAGCCACCCCACTCTGTGTGCTTGTAACATTTTGGAAATAAAAATCCAGCTTCCGAAAGAAACCTCAGGAGTGCAGTAGAGGGTCCTCTTTGGCCCTAGTGGATCTCCAGCACAGTTGTCACATTATTCTCATGGGCACTTTCACACAGGCCTTTCTGCAGATTCCCCATCCTCACCCGCCACACTTCCCAAGATCTCTAATGATAGTACAGATAGGAGAAAAGAAAATAAGTGGCTGTGCATTGAATAACAGAATCATTCATGTTGGGAAAGACCTCCAAGATCATAAAGTCCAACCTTTGACCAATCACCACCTAAGGCACCTAAACTCAGCTACACCACAGCCCTAAGTGCCACATCCAGTCGTTTTTTGTACACTTCTAGGGATGGTAACTTTCCCATCTTCCCAGGCAGCCCATTCCAATGGTTAACCACTCTTGCCATTAATAAATTCTTCCTGATGTCCAACCTGAACCTCCTCTGGCACAGCTTAAGGCCATGTCCTCTTCTCCTGTCACTTGCTGCCTGGGAAAAGAGGCCAAACCCCACCCAGCTACATCCTTCTTTCAGGCAGTAGAGAGTGAAAATGTCTCTCCTGAGCCTCCTCCTCTCCAGGCTGAACACCCCCAGATCTCTCCCCAGAACTGTGCTCCAGACACTCCCCCAGCTCCATTGCTTTTCTCTGGGCTTGCTCCAACACTTCAATGCCTTTCTTGAAGTGAGGGGCCCATTGGTTTTGGGAGGGATCACAGACCAGCTCTACCACAATATCAGGTGCACAAATCCCATAGAAACAACAGAATGGAGTAAGTTTAGTTCTCCTGGCCAGAAGCTACCCCAGCACTGGGGCTCAGTGCACGATCATACAAAAAGTATATACATCATCAAGAAAACAGGGTGTTAACAAGCTTATTCCTTTTTGTAGTAAGAAGGTCAAGTTCCTCTATTCCCATCTTTAAATCACTGTAACTAATTTCCTACTTTCTGTTGATAGGAATATAATTCAGGCACTTCAGCAAGGTTGCCAGGCACTGGTGTATGGTCCCTGCATTGACAGCTCCAAGCATTATCCCCATTTCCTATGGGAGAGATTCAGAAAGTTCAATATCACCTCTCTTTGCAGAAACAAATCCACATAAAAGTGGAGCTATCGTAGCAAATTTTAGTGCACATGTTTGTGTCACAGAGAGGTGGAGGAGGATGCAGGAGGAATTTAACTGTACAGGCAACAGGCAGAAATTAAAAGAGAACCAAGTGGCCAGGTGGTGAGGGAACTCACTTCTGATTTACAATTGCAATGATTGCGATGAATAGGGAGAGGCTGTGATTAAAGACGTGTCTGAAAATAACAGTAATGATTTCCACTTGTATGCCTTTGATCAGGCAATCTCACAGCATTGTATAAATGAAACCTCCCAATATCTCTGTGAGCTTGGAAAGCCTTCTACTGACACGAACGTGTCAGAAATAAATACCAGCTGAATGGTGTTAGACAGGTGATGGCTTAGATATTTCATCCTCTCTTGGAAGAAGAGCTTCTAGAGATGGAATTTGTCCCAATTATAAAAGAGGAATAGATCCTCAGTATGAGCTATATTGGACTACATGCATAAATTACTGTGCAAAATGATCATTTAGCCCATTCAGTTCTCATTCCTGCAGGTGAAAATGCCAATAAGGGAACTAATCACCTGTCTGTAAGGATGATTTTAAAAGATGGAGACATTGCCCATCAAGAACACCACTGGGAGTCATCAACTCTGTTCAAACAGGCTGCTGGTAACCATCAGGAGGTAAGAACTGTACTTCTAGTCTGAATGACTGCAGGATTAATTTGAGTGAGCCATCTGGAGTGGAAAAAATGCACATTCCTTACCATGCCCTTGTGCACTACATTCCCCAACCCAAAACTATGCAGGACCATCGCATCCAGCCATAACCCTGATGTGGAGTGTCCTGAACACCTCACCCCACCTGGCTCCCTGTCAACCAGGAGTCATCTAGGCAGCTTTTCCACAGGTTTTGCAGCTAAATCCCATCCAAGGGCAGGAAACATCACTGAGTGTTTCCCTTGCAGTAGCACAGTGGACCCAAAACTAAACAGAGCCTGTAGTGTTCTGTGGTCAGGCAATTTTTTGTGTTTGGAAAGATTGACACAGTTATGTTTGGTCTTGATGGGGTGTTGAGAGGGTTAAATATGGCTCAAAACTTATTTCACTTACAATTATGTTCATCCTCCTGTCACCAAGAAAAAAACCAAAATATACTCTGATATTCAGATCTAGCTATTTTAGTTTGCACTCTTCTCTGTTATTCAGTGAATATGAAATTACTTTTCACCAGTTCAGAAGATATTTGTACAGTATTTTTCACATATAAGTTGTTGAGGTCAGACACCCCAACTTCACTGTTATGGTTGATAACCATAATTCCTGGCCTTCCTCAAGAGCCAGTAATAAGCTGCCTGCATTAATCCTATTTAGATGTTTGATTTGGCTATATCTGTCAGCAGACAGATTATATAAATACAAGATTTGAAGGAAAAAAAATTCCTCATGCTGCACGTAACTAAGAGCAGTTTTACCTTGGTCAGGAGAAGGAAAACATTTCCCAGCTAGTCAAATGCCAGAGATGCTCTCCAGGTGGCCAGAGGAACCTCTCTCCAAAAGATAAGGCAGCCCTTAAGCTATTTAGGGAAATGTCAAAACATCACCCTTAAAAACTTTGAATTTAAACACATTTTGTGAGGAAAGATGAAGTCTGCCTGAGCTCCCCAAAAGCCTTTACAAAGGAGCCCAGTTCTAAAGCCAGGGTGTTGGCTCTGCCCTCACTGCTGCTGTCCCCTGCCCCTGGGGACAGGACACAACCTCCCTGTGCCCACAGAAGGAATGGGATCAGGGCAAGCTGCTCCCTGCTCACCTGCAGCAAAAGCTCTTCACCAGCAGCAGAGAGGTGTCAGCCCTCCAGCCACCCAGCCCAGAGCATCCAAACACCCTCAACTCCTTCCCTGCCAGCCTCCCACACTGCCCAGTTTCCCACAGTCCTGCCTGAGCCTTGCCAGGCTTTGTTGGGAAGAGGAGAGCCATGCAGGTATTGCTGTGTCTGCCTGTTCCCCTAGCAGGTGCTCTGTTAAGTGGATCCTGCTGTGTCTAATAGCCTCTCCCACCCCCCTGTAACCTACTTACATATTTTCTGTGAGTCTGCTGGCCTGGTGATCTTGCACTGGTACAGTCTCTGGCAGCTGCTCCAGGAAGGGTCACACGGCTCCTGTAATTAAAACAGGGCGGAAAAAGGCAAATTCTCTGCTTAGTCAAAGGAAGAAAAAAAAGGGGGATGAAGAGGGGAAGGATACCCTTAGCTGCTGACATGAGGGATAACAAGACAAGGCTTGAGGATAAGTTGCCTCAAAGTTCCTCTTTGGTTGTTAATATAGAGCAGCACCAGAAGCCATCAGGCCCTGTGCTATCACTCAAGTACCATTAACAATTATGGTCATATGTGGAAAAAGTGTGGTCACGTTTGATTTCTTCTGGCCTTCTTCCTTCTCCTTCAGCACCCTGGAATAACTCACTGAGGCACACCAAGTAGAGACCTCAATTACACGCACCATTGGCACCCCCAGTTCTGCAAGCAGCAGAAGCAGTACTCCTTGGAAACACCATTAATCACAAAGCTCAGCTGAGTTTGTCCTGTCAATTCATTATCTGGGATTTTTATATCTATATGAATATGTACATGATACTGCCACCCTCTGTACTCTGTCTAGTGTACAACCATACCTGATCCTGGTGTATTTCAAGTGGAAACTTCTCAAGGCAGGTACTCCTGGGTAGCACATGCACACCAGAAAGGGGCTGCGAGCTTAAAATTCACACCAGGCTGATGCTGACAGCTGGTCCAATGTGAGGGAAACCTCTGTTCCTTATAATCTGACAGTGGGGAAGATGGTTCTGTGCCAGGGGCTGAATCAGTTGGAGGCATCATTAATACATCTGATGCAGTCTCTGTGGGAGTGCACTAGGGTAATTCAGGTTGTGGGTGTCAGAAATAGTGCATTAGTTATGGGGAGGTGGGGGTTGTAATCAGGAAAAAAGTACAGGGTTTTTCTGCAGGTGGTTATGAAATCACTTAAGAGAGCATGTTGCAAGTCATTCTGCTGAGAAACAGAGCATCCAAAAGAGAAACTGCTGTGGGATGCTGAAGAACTCATATACTCAGTAACTGGGAGACTGGTGCAATGAAAGTTTATCAACTGACTGAGAAGAGATGGAAGCAGAGGCTGGAGAATAAGGATTACAGAGTCCCTCTTCTCAGCAGAGCTCTCTGTTTCCAGATAAGCTTGCAAGCACTGCATTAGGAGTCTCACACATGCTGGGTGGCTGAAGCCACAGCCCTCTCTGGAGACCCTGTATTAGCATAAAATAAGGGGATTTTGGAGACCTGCACTGAAATGTCAAAAGCTGCTGTAAAATCCCCAGGATGCCATTCAGCACTCTATTTTCACTCTACAACTCTCCTGAAAAGATAGGGACATAAATAATGGACTGTAAGGAAAGGAGGGGTGGCTTCTTGCAGCTTCCCTCTGCAGGGAGAGTGTTCCTAGAATAAACCCTTGGTTTGGAGACTGAATGAAAGAAATCTGGATCTGGTGGGCAGGATGGTGTTAAGGTTGCAGGCAGATGCCGGTGGAGCCTTTCCTCTCTCTCCCTAGCATTGTTTCCAGAGACAGTAATTGGACATTTAACTTTTATGTTGGTGTAGTAAACTAACCTTGCTGCTAACTCTGTCTGGTAATAAAATATGGTCTCTCTATAAAGAAGATTTTCAAGACCATTTTTTTTTACAAGGCTTAGAGATTATTTTTTCAGAAAGAGTAAAGTGTTTTTCAAGTCTTTCCCAGCCAGAGTTAATTGTGCCATTACCAAGAGCTGGGACACAAGTTTCACATTTTCCCCACAGGGGTTGTGGCCCAGTAACACTCGCTGCTTCACCATGAGAAGGGAATTTCCATCCACTGTGTAGCAGGAGAGGCAGGATCATGGATTCTCATGCTGAGAATAATCTGTTCACAGAAGGGGACTGTAAAGGATCCTACAGGCTGGTGGAGCTGAAAGTACTGTAAGTGCTGGACAGGCTGGCCCCTGCAGATTAGTCCAATGGGCCATGAGGCTCAGAAGGAAATTTGGCCATTATTTCTTCTGACAGTGATGGAGGTAGCATGGGGCCCTAGACACTGAGTTACCCATCCTGCCACAATAATTCTTCCTGGAATGCCATCATTCCTGAGACCATTTAGCATTTCGGCGGTTGCTCTGATCTACTCTGGGCTAACACTTGCTCAATAAACTATAATAAACCTATTAGATAGGTTTGCTGAAGTGTACTGCCAGACTGGGACAGAGTCATTTTTCACTGCATTCGGTTACATCCAAAGTAACGGGCCAACAGGAATTAATGCTGATGTGATGGAGTGGTGCGGTCTGAAAATGACCTTTTCCTTTTATCCTCACTCTCTTTTCTGAGAGCCCTTCTTCTGTGGGGCAGAGCAAGTGTGTCTGCAGAGGGATCCCCTTCCCAGATGTAACCATGCTGTCATCTAGGTCTAGGAAACTATGCTCTGGCAGTTTCTAAATTATGGGCAAAAGAGATTTTTTTCTCCTCAGTATCTGAGGGCTTTTAGTATCTACAGTGTACCCTTTTCTTTATTAATTAATGTTATGTTTAAAACATAAGTAGGTTCTTATTTCTGCTCGGTACTTATTATAATGCCTCGTCAGCACTTCAAGTACCTCTCCTTTCCCATCAGCCTCAGAGCTGGGTTCAGCTCCTGATGTGTCACCCTGGTCAGGACTGTGGTTTGCAGCCCCAGCACCTGTAGCACAGGGCTGGGGGTAACTCACAGCCTGGAAAGGAGAGCCTTGCATTTACCTGCACGAGTATGGATGAGGAACGCCAGGCCATGGAATGCCTCCTTAGCTGGCCCCAGTCGCAGGCTGGGAGGTGTCACCACTGGGGTGCTGTCACCACAGCCTGTCCCCTTGTCTGCAGATAAACAAGAGCAGATTTGGGTTTAGCACGGGAGTTAGCCGAGGTGATATCCGCAGGCAATCTTTTTACTCCAGTCTTGGTGCCATCCCTCTGTCAGGACTAATGCAATTACCGCACTTTTTGCTGAAAGGCAAAGAAAGCACGGAGAGAAACCCTCCCCTGGGAGCTCATTCTGTGGGAAGTGGTGGGGCTCAGTGCGCCCAGGCAAGCTGCCAGTCTCAGCCGGGCAGGAGGCTGTCGCCAGTGTTTAACCACCAGCCCGAGAGGTTTGTGTCTCATCGCTGCCCTTCTCCTGCGAGGCAGGGATGTGGGATGTGGGATGGAGAAGGTGGTGACCCATCTGCAGGGCCTCCTCAGTGGTGATGAGGAGACGCGGGCAGACGGCGGCAGGAGCTCGCCTTCCCCCCTTAAAGCACGGCTATATTTAGAGGCAAATTGCAAACAAAGTGACGGTGAGCTGCTGCCGCTGCCCATAAATTATCCAGCTGCGTGGGATGCCGGTGGGCCCACCGACACCTCCCGCCTCTCCTGCGCCGGCGGGGGCAGGAGAGGCGCCCTGAGGGAGGGCATGCTGCCTTCCCAGTTCTTCCCCCCGCACTGCCCTGGCCCCCATGTCACCCCCAGTCCCCCTCCCCAGCCAGCAGGAACGCCGGTTCCACGGATGGTTGCCATGGGTTACACTGGCAGCGTAGACATTCCCTCCCGAAACAGCGGCGATAATTGGGAATGGGGGCTCTGCGCCCTCACGCCCAGGGTTGCTCCAGCAGGCTCGCGGTGCATATAGCTCCCCGGCCAGCTCCACCCCAAAACCTCCCCACGGCATCCCCGCAGCTGGGGACCGGGGTTGCTGGCCCACAGCATCACCCGGCCCTACAGAGAGGCCCCTCCTGGCACACAGCTGGGAATTAGTGCCAAAAGGGCAGGGTGATGGAGGAGCAGACCCTCGGCAGGCAGCGGCCCCGCTGCACAAGATGCACAAGCAGCATTATCCAAATTACAGACCACCCCCAGCTCTGCCAGGCCAGGCTCTGTGCTCATGTTCCCTCTTTCACAAGGAATTTTAGTGGGGCTTTTCCAGGTGCTTTGCCACAGTGACAGAGAGCCAGCATGAGGGAATGGTAATTGGAGAGGCAGGGCACTGAGGAGTGGGTGGTGGGGCACCTCAGGGATCAGTGGCAGGCCTCGTTTTAACCTGTTCCTTTTTTTTGAGATGATTAGAGCACGATCAATAGGCTTGCAAAACTTAGATAGCCTAACCTGCTGCCACCAATTAAGCAAGATATTTCGGTCCTGCAGAGGACTCAACACGTGGCACAGACTGTCAGTACAGTTACAGCTTCTGCAGGCAAGAAGGAAAGCTGATCTCTTGCTCAGGGGAGACTGCCTCATTCCCTTTCCCCATCCCACCCTGGGAGCTTTCTGTCTCCTTTTCAGGCTCTGTTTCCCCTGCAGTGCCCAAGGCTGCTCTGGAGATGAACTCACCTCTGGCTCGGGAGACACGGCGTGAGAACAGGAGGGTCTGTGCAGTGCTGTTCTTGCAGAATTAGCAGTGCTGTTTCTTCATTGTTACACATCTGATCTGTTCAACTCCTACACCAGTGATGTTTTACCCAGGGCTGCACCACTTTGCATACAGATAAGACTTTGCCTCTCTTGCCTCTTGGGCAGAGAGCCCATTCGGTGTATCTCTCGCTTTGTGATCCCTTCCAAAGGTTCAGCTCTGCCTTCCTTGATGCCGAAACAAACCATCTCACCTCCCTCTGGTTCAGTCCAAAGCACCCCTGGGTTTTGTCATCAGTTGCTGCAGGCTTCTCCAAGATCTTGTCAGGGTTTCTTGGCGTTTCATGTGAGCTGAGAGGGACATTTGCAAAATTCTGCTGTCAAAAACAGGGCCTCAAGGCTACCTTAGAATCCCTTCTTGTCACATACCTCAAATCTGAAAGTATAAAAGAGACAACTTCAATATTTTAAATTTATCAATAATTTTGGTGTTGCACAATCTTGTTGGGAGATTCGGTGCTCTTCCAGCACCGCTCCTTTCATTTCATTGCCTCAACTCTGCAGGCTCCACATTGCCCTTACTCCACAGACTCCTTAAGAGATTTGCAGGAAGTTCTGCTTCAAAATACTAAAACACCCAACCATCAACAGAAAAAGTGCTACTCAAATTATTCCTGTGCAATCTTAACCAGCCCTCTTAGCTCCTGTAGGGTTTGCTTTGCCCTCCACTTGCACAGACAAACTCTGGAGATCAGCACCCTTCACATTACAGAAACCCACCAACAGACAGAAGGGTGCAGCACAAACAGATTGGGTTATCAGATTTGTTCTGCAGAAGGCAACAGTGACATGGGGAATGTGACATCATCTGTGGCATCTGGAAGGCATCAGAGTGTCTGCAGTGCAGAATGAAGTGTCTTGGCGGCACTGCTGGGGAATTAACACAGATTGCAGTCTGATCAGAACAGGCGACAGTGTGCTGGACTGGACTGGCATTATGTGATGCACTGGAGGTTGACCAGTCTTTCTGTATACACACAGGCTCCTAAATACCATCCCAAGTGCTATACTGTCAAAAAAGTATTATGCAGCTAGGAAAGCTCTGAGGAGTCTTGACTTAGCAAAAACTGAGAATTTAAGATGTCTTTCCTGGCCAAACGTCAGCTAAGGCTGTATAAAATCCTCTTCTACAAGTATCCTAGGAGGTATAATGACCACAGTGGGAGAGTAATTGCATCCAGAAGCCAAAAGGAGAATTGATAAATGGAGCAAGATGAAATTGACTTTAAAAAAAATGGATAAAGATTTTTCCTAACATGGAAATCTGTTGAGCCAGAGAAGAAGGAAGCTCCCCTGGTTGAGCCATTTAAGAACAGACCACAGAATACGGCCTACATTGCTCCCTAGAGCAGAGAGTACACACCAAGACACAGGTCTTTCTCTTTATCACAAGCCCATGGGGATGGCAGCATTTTACCTCACTTTTTACAGCCACCAAAGAACCAGCAATGCATTTCCACGTCTACCTAGCTCAAGTCTGGCAGGACATGTGCAAGTTTTAGGGAGAGTAGCCAAACCTTACAGCACAGCCTTGCCAACTGCTCCCCAGAGCAATCATCTCTTGCTCCCCAAGGCACAGGCTGCAGTGTGGAGCTGAGAACAGCATGGCCACGGCCTCCTGGCCGGCTGGCTGAGCGAGCACGTCTCATTAACAGGGATTCATCAGCACCCTTGTTAATAATGCAGGAGCTGGCTGTCTCTGGGGGAGTTCCTCAGCAAAAACTGCACTGCTTCTGTATTTCAGGCACAGCCTCTGCTGGTGTGATGGGCTTCCATGCTGACAAAGCATTTTGGTTATTTGTTATTCGCAAGAGGCATCCCGGTGCTGAGCAGCGGCCCAGGCAAGAGGTGCAGAACAGAGGAGAGAAAAGCCAGTCCTGTGCCTCTCTGGGACTCTGCCCTGTCTCAGCACCAGTAGGGACCAGTCTGATTGCTGATGAGAGTGCTCTGGTCCCGAGGTCATCTTTGGAGAAGGCAAGAGTTGGAGGCCATCCTGTCCTGGCATTATCCTTTGTACGTTCACTCCACTGCAGGGAGCAGGGATCAGCACACAGTGGTCCTGCTATCTCCAGTCTCCTCTCTTCTAGGATGATCTCCCTGAAGCCTTCATCATGGCCTTCACACCTCTGCCAGCACAGGAGAAACTGCAGCTGGGGCCAAACTCACATGGAATTTCTTGGTCCTTGCAGTATTGCGGCCCACATGAAGGAGGGAGCAGATGTAATTCCCTGTAAGAGTCACTTGCAAGCATTATTTTGTCAATGCCCACCTGTGTGTGGCAGCACGTGGGAGAAGGGATAATTTCATGATGAATGACAGGGATACAGCACTGTGCCCTCTCCAGGGACAGTCTGCCCAGTCTGAGAGCTCTGGAGTCTCCTGATGGAAGATGTGCCCTTTAACATTCACCCTGAGAAAAAGCCTAATAGGAAGAGACTTCAAGCCTTCAAAAGCAACCTTGCAAAACAGCCTATAAACCCCCCCTACAAAACCAAGAAAACAAAATTCCCCCCAAACTGCCCTTTGGCAGCATCAGGCTGTTCTCTAGCCAAGCATCCTTGGGGGATGCATAGAAGCAGCAATCTCAAAGCAGAGCCTGTACAGAGCAGTTCCCCAGGAAGTCTGAACCTCCAGCCAGGACAGCATGCCCATTAAAAACAAATTATTTGATTGAGGTGAGGTCAAATCCACCACCATCCTCTGGGAGGAGTGAGCATCTCCAGGCCTGGAAGGTGGAAACAGCTACACTCCCAGGCTCAGCTGCAGGGACATCACCACTGGGGTGGGTCTGGGGGAGGACAGCTTTCCTCTCCAAGGTGGGCAGGTGCTCCACCTGAATTACCCTGAGCATCCAGCACAGCAGCCAAGTCCCCTGCAGGAGGTGCCCCTGCTCTGTCACCAGCACAGAGGTGACATCTCCGTGCCCTGAGCCACGATGGCTGCATGGATCAGCCTGACACCTGGGACTTTGTCATACCTCTCACCCTGACACAGACAGATCCTTGCTTGTGGCACCAGTGGGGCAAAGCCAAGAGACATATCCAGCTCCAGGGTCAGCTTGGCCTCTTCCTGCAGTACAAGCTCTTGGCACCACCCTCATTTCAAAGAACCTTGTGTGGGTCGTCCATAGAAAGATGAGGCCTCCCTTTCCAACATGCAGTGACCATAGATGGGCAGCCCTGATGGGCAGTGGTGTGATCCCCTAGCTGTGCCATCGTGGTCACAGTCAGGTGAGGATCTCTCTCCTTTTTGCAGTTAGACCAGGAAAAATAGGGGGAAGCATTGCTCACAGCTCTCTCTGAAAGCTCAGGGGAAACAAAAAACATGATTGTGAAGCCCTGCAAAAATTCAAAATCTTCTGATGACTTCAGTGGGAAAGAAAAAAAGCC